TATATAGGAAGTGGAGATTATTTATAATTGAAGCATAAAGAATGGGAAAATAAAGGTCTATATTTCATTTTGGTAATGGAACTAAGGAAACAAACTTACTTGTCTACTCCATCGGCACCAACGATCAGAACATTCCCACCAATGAAATCCCCTGGCAGGAGAGAAACTAGTGTTCCAGAGCCCTAAAAATAAGAATTTGTAACCTGTTGAGGACGGTGAGGGGCATGCTCTCGTGAAAAAAGTTTCGTCGCAAGTAGATAGGAATGCGATTATTTAACTAATTTAAAAAAAAATTTAATTAGTTAAATAACCTGTCCTTCATAGAATCGCGTCGGCCGACTATGGTTAGTATGGTAGCCATCAGGGTCCCAATAACGCCGTTGTCCTTTTTTAACGCCGTTACGTTGTTCAATTCCAACCAATACCGTCGGGCGCAGTGACCATTATAGAAAATGTGTATTGTGACGTAAGTTTTGCTTAAACTTTAAACAGTACATTGAAGGTAATATGCGAACACCTTTCTTCATTGAACTCAACAAGCCATTCGGAATATTTGACGCATTGCATGTCTTGTAATTAAGTCATATATAAAGCTTCTTTACAAGTAGACGTACTGTACTTGCCTTCAAAATATAAGACATTCTAGTTTGTAGTCTCTCAAGGTCTTCTATAATTTATATATGACTCGCTTCCTAATCATACACTGGCATAGTTTAATGAGGGGCGAGCTAGGTTTTCCCAGAGGGTGTTTCCGTAAAATACTTCGTTTAATTATCCTGCCCCTCTAATTGACTGTATCCTATAAGTCTGTTTCCCTTTCTAATTACATTCTGAACATGTTCATGGTCAGATAAGGTTCTACTAATAAACGTAATTGTTAGATTATGATATACTATGCCAAGTAACAAAAATTGCTTGTTTCCCGTCCCCGCGCGCGTCGATTTTTGGGCCCGCCTCGATTTTTTTGTTATTTGTTATTTTTCGAAATTTCGTTTTTTGGTGTTTTTGGTAGTCTGAAAACGCGAAATGACGATATATGACGCATTTTCTAGACTCATGCAACGCAAAAAACCGCTCAAGCACGAAAATTGTGTGGTTACTTTTTTTTATTTATTTATTTGAACATACACCTTTGAATCAGTGGCACTCAATATCAATTGGTGCGTTCGTACAAACAAAAAACAAAAAAAAGGGGGAAATTTAACAAACAAAATGAATAACAATCGACTGTAAATAATATTACAAAATTAAAGAAAGGTAGAAAAATAACATATGAAATTAGATGAGATATCATTTCACTTCGCATTTCATACTCAGAAATATTTACAGGTCAACTGTAAAGTAAATGCTTAAATAACTAACCTACAAAATATAAAATCTAAAGATGAAAAAGTCTTACAACAAAAATATAATACCAAGGTAGACCTACAAAATTTAAGGATTACAGACTAAGATGTAGTGTCCACTTGTGGAAAAAAAAAAAAAAAAAAAAAAAAAAAAAAAATTTTTTACACAATTTGATAAGCAACGATACATTTACAGTAAACTATTGTTGTGAATTTTTTAGTTGTGAGCGTTTCTCCCAAGCATTCATGATGTATTTTTTACAGAAATTATCAAAA